TGATGTGTGTCTGTGTGTTTCTTTGTTTTTCTCTACATGAAAGACCTAATGACCTACTATTTCACAGACATGCAGAATATGTGAGTACACACAGTGTTACCGTAGGCCATGCCCAGGCATACCACTACTCTAAAGAGAGAGCAGGATGACTGGTTCTTAAGTCAATGTCTGGTTTCAGATCTTATTTTCACTACAAATGTGCTATCTGGTCTGATAAATCATCTTCCTGAGTTTACTTTCTCCTCCATAAAGTAACACGTTTTTAATTGTTAAGGTATCTACCTCATAAAGTTTGGGACAGATTTCACACCATATACTTGAAAGAGATTTGTATATAAAAGTGCTATACATGTGCCAGTTTTATTAAATAAGGTGAGTGGGTGGGTTTTTTGTGTGATGGGCCAGCACAACTTTCCCAAAGGCAGAGGCCATGGTGACAATCAGAGGTTGATGCCCTATGGTGATACTTGTCTTGGAAGTGAGGTGGAGATAGCTTCTACTTAGTGAGGATTTCCCCTTCCCTTTAATTTCATGCTTACATAGTAAACACAATAGTAATAGCAGAAAGATTATTTGAAATTGGAAACTTCCTTTCAAAGCCAACAAGGTCACTCTAGGTAACTATATTATCATGCAGAGTAAAATAAAGAAAAAAATGTATTAATTTTAACACATCTTAATTGAACTCTAGCACATTTCTTTCTGTTTGAGTCAGTTGAAATCTTTTAAGAGTTTTACTGTCCTATAAAAGGAGATGATCACATGCAATTATGTGAAAAGTGAGGCTTCAAGTAGGGGGAAAGACATCCTAATGGTGTTTTCTCCTTCCTTATGTAAATATGATTAATCTATTCTATAGAAGGAATACTTACCAGGATGGGGCTTTGTGAGTTTTTGTGTAAGAGTAAATGAGTAGATTAGTAAACTTAAACTCAAAATGATGTTGATAATATAAATTACAGGTGGCATTTACTAGTGTATGTATGGGAAGGGATAATTTTACGCATGAATTAGATGATTTTAAAATAAACATTAGTTTGGGTAAATATACTTTTACCCTCAAATATAGGTTTATTAGATTGAGAAAGATTTACGTTTCTTTTTACTATGTACAAAGTTATATTTTACTTTTGTTCAAAAATGTGTGAAAGAACACTGAGTTTGCATCATGAATACATGCAGGGGGCCATGGAACTTGGATCCAATCTGGATGTAAGATAAGTTCACTGATTTGTAAGATGTAGGTCAAGGTCAGAGAAGAATTGAATGAGCCAGTGTTGTGAGGAGTCTCTTCACATGGTGAGAAGGACAAAGCTGTAGTTACATTCGGATGTCACATGCCAGAGAGACCTGTCTGTGGGCACTTTTAACAGGTCTGCCAACTGGTCCTTAGTCAGTTGTTTTTACAGAACTATGAATGATGTTTTCTCGTAGACATTTTATACTCCAGATAAATGAGGGTCAGTTCTAGGAGAGAGACTGTAATGCTGCCAGCGTGATGCCTCTCTGGGGAAAACATACACAAAATGGGAGAGGATGGTACAAAAAAAATTAAAGGGGAATATTTGGAAAATGTTCCCTGAGCCAATAGTCACCCCTTTCCTCTTTTCATGCCTTTTCTTCCCGTTTTTGCATGCCGTTTCTGGGAGACCACATTGTCAAAATGAAGCTCATGACTAAAGATGCTCTAGGGCTAAAGAGTGGAAACACTATGGAAAGATAGGTTCTGACTTTCCATAATATGCAGTGCTATGATTTGCACATCCTCACATCGTCATCACTAGTATATGGTAAGTGGATAGACCTATAAACTGGGATTTTATTAGAGCATAAACATGCCCTAGGAGAAAGTCAGAGTCTCTTAAGTGAGGCGGCTTTGGGGTTAATGCTGTTTGTGGCACACTAACTACAAAATCAGTAAAGTTATACTAACCTTCCAAAAGTGACTATTTTTAGTACATACATAATGGTGATAGGTAAATGATAGCTTCTTTAGCCAACAGTATTTTTGTAAGGATCAAATTCGCTAGCATGTACAAAAAAATCTTCATACAAGTATGGCGTATTATTGTAGATGAATTTGAATACCAGGCCACCATGCTCCACTAAATTAGAAATTGAAAGTGGTAATGCATCTCCTCTAAGCCTCTCATTCATTTTCATAATGGATTTTACCTATAACACAGTGTAAAACAGATAGGTAGGATCTGTCTTACCCAATTTTCTCAAAGCACTAAATATTCTAGGTAGAAATAGAGAATATTGTTTTAGGTTCCCCCGGGCTTGGCTTTCAATCTTCATACTATTTATGTTTTCGGGCAGTTTGATTAAGTGAGATATGAAAAGGACACAAAGTTCATTAAAGTAGGGTTAAATTCAATTTCTCTTGATTCCCCACAAATTGGGAGAGGTTACAGCACTTAACCAAGTGGGTAGAAGTTCCAGGTGGTGCTCTTTTTTTTTTTTTTTTTTAAACAGCCATGGCTCACCAGTGTTCTTCCTCTTTTGAGGTGGGATTAGAAAAAATATACTGATGCCTGAACTGCAGCCAGATTGGAACTGGGTAGAGTCCCCTATGATGCAATGAATTGCAACCATGAGCATCTGGCCTCTGCTCTCACAGTAAAGCAAAGAAGCAGGTGGACATGGAAAAAGCATAGGTAATATTGGTCTAGCCAACTTTGATTAATGTTTCCTGTGTGTAAGGCACTGAGCTACTCACAGCCCATCTTATTACCCCTCACAAGAATTCCAAGAGATAGGTACTACTATTGTTTCTATTTTGCATGTGAAAAATATGGACTGCTTTGTTTAAATGATGTTTCCATGGCCAAGTGCAAGGTGGGTGCAGAACACAGATCATCTGATTGCAGACTCATGTCCTTAACCATCATTTTTTTCAGCTTTTCTTACTTTTGGCCTTTTGACATTTGAATGTTTGATCCATTTGTCCAATACCCCGGTTAAGCATCTCTTCTCCATGTGTTTGCCTCATCTAGTTTCTTAGAGAAAAGATGTCCAGCCATTAATCCACCATTTTCTGGTATGAGGAGCCCACTAGAGCAGTAACCAAAAGCAACGTAAAACAAAGCTAAACAAATAAAAAATCAGGCTGAATATTTTAGCTTTGAATCATTGACCAAAGCAGTCAGAGTCTGTGTGTGTGTGTGTGTGTGTGTGTGAATTTATCCTGAAGGTTTTTCTTCCAAAAGAAACTTCATGAGAGATGTGCAGATAAACAATCTTAAACAAATGGAACAGTAAGATATAAAGATATAAGGTTTTCTGGGCAGAAAGCATACTTTTTAGAAAGAGTTTTTTAAATATATGAAATTCAGTTTGGATCTTGATGAATTATCTCTTATATAATTTTCAATTAAGACCCTTGTAAGTAATTAGATAACCTTTGAATATAAAGCAATATAATGTAGTATTTATAATCATGGGCATTGGAGTTGGGCAATCTGGATTCAAATCCCAGACTTGTGACTCTTTGTGTGGCCTTGGGCAATTTACTTAATTGTCTAAGCCCTTGCTTCCTCTTCCCTGAAAAGAAAATAATTATATATCTACTTATTTGCTTTGAAGAGTTTTCTTTCATTGAAAGTAGTAGTATTCTGCAACAAGAATTAACTCTAAGCTTTTACTTAACACTGTGTAAATATATGTTGAGAAGTTGCCATTTAAAATTTATTAAACCTCCTTGTCATCAGGAGAGTGTTCTGCTACCAAAAGACACTGTGTTGTTCTTATGCCCTGCTTGCTGCAGAGCATGCTCTGTATCCTCTGAACACATAGTCCTTACTATAGAAGTTTTTTTTTTCAAATTGTTAGTTTTTTCTTTTTTACCTAAGAATCTTGTCTCCTTTACATATGTCAAGACACATACATAACCATGTTCATTGCAGTATTGTTTGTAATCACAAAAATTAGGACATAACCTTAATGTCTGCTAGTAAGGACATTAAGAAATAAATTGTATAGATATATAATAGAAAACTATTCAATAGTAAAAATGAAACTAAACCTAAATGATTTAAAAAACAATGTTGAATTTAGGAAACCAAGATACCAAATAATGTCTAGAGTATTATAGCATTTCTATAAATTTTAAAAATTCACACAAACCTATATATTATTTATGGAGACATACATATATTCAATAAAAGCATTAAAACATGGATTAAGAAGATTATAAATCATATTCATGTCAGCAGTTGAGTTTGGAGAGGGAATGTGGGGATTGGGATTGGAGAAGAGATCAAAGTGGACGTTGTTTCTTTTATTAACAAAAAATGACAAAATATGAACATATATTCATCCAGGGAGGGTTTGTATGTAAGGCTGTTATATTTCTCTTTGGAGTTTTATATTTCATTCATAAAATATAAAAACAAAAATTAAAGATAAAAATGATTATTTACCACCTTCACCCATTTCATGGTGATCAAAGATACAAAGTTCCAACTCTAAGTCCTGGGAATGTAATGTATAGCATGGTTCATAATACTGCATTGTACATTTGAATGTTGCAAAGAGAGTAGATCTCTTTTGTTCCCCTTTACTGAGGGCTTTTGATAGTTTTATTTATATTATTTTTTATTTTTTAATTAAATTTATAGGGGTGACATTGGTTAATAAGATCATATAGGTAACGAGTATACATTCCTATGATACATGATCTGTATATTGCATCGTGTGTGTACCACCCAAAGTCAAATTATCTTATATCACCACATATTTGTGCCCCTTTACCCTTTACATCCCTTCCACCCTCTTCCCTCTGGTAATCACCATACTGTTGTCTATGACTATCATCTTAAATGTTCTCATCAGAAGAAAAAGAAATCATAACTATGTGTGGTGACGGATGTTAACTAAACTTAGTAAAGTAAAAATTTCATAATATATATTAAATCTGTATGTTGTATACCTAAAACAAATACAATGTTATATGACAATTATATCTCACTAAATAGAAAAGATAAAAATCGGGTCAGAGTGAGCGTCTCGCGGGCCACAGGAGGAAGATGGCAGTGGAGTCGCGCGTCACCCAGAAGGAAATTAAGAAGGAGCCAGAGAAGCCAATCGACCGGGACAAGACGTGCCCTCCGCTGCTGCGCGTCTTCGCCGTCAACAACGGGCGCCACCACCGACTGGATGAGTTCTCTCGCGGGAACGTGCCTTCTATCGAGCTGCAGATCTACACCTGGATGGATGTTACCTTGAAAGAATTGACTAGTTTAGTAAAAAAAGTCTACCCAGAAGCTAGGAAGAAGGGCACGGACTTCAATTTTGCGGTTGTTTTTACGGACATTAAAAGACCTGGCTATCCAGTAAAGGAGATTGGCAGCACCATGTCCGGGAGAAAGCGGACTGATGATTCCATGACCCCGCAGTCGCAGAAGTTTCAGACAGGAGATTATCCGGATCTGGCAATCATCCCTCTGGATCGGGCACCACCTCCTTCAGGGCGTGTGAGACCGTATTAAATTTTGTTGACTATTTCTTGAGTTTATTTTTCATTCATTGACGTGACACAAATTTATGCTTTCCTTCTTCTCATTATTGCCATTAAGTCTTTAAACTCTAAACGAATTGCAATGCATTTATTTAGGAGTTAGGTTTGGCTGTGCTATGGCATGAATATTAATAGAAAGTTCATGTTTCAAGTCCTGTAAAGTATGAAGCACTCTTAGCATTCTATGTAAAACTGTTGTTAAATATACATGTGTAATAAAAAAAGAGATAAAAATCATTATTAAGGATTGGATTTGAATCCTGATTCTACCGCTTTCCACTTTCAAAGACCCCTGTTGTTATTCTCAATCTCTTGTCTATGAATTTTATGTCCTGAAAGATTTTGTTCAACAAGTGAAATTTACATGGTATAATTTATTTTCTCACTTTTCTTTTAAAAACATAAATGCCAATAAGAACTTATCATCCGTCTGAGACCAGCATTCATACAGGTACATGACGTAGTGACTGCTGTTTGGCTCGGATTCATATTTGCGCTGAATATTGCATTTGATGGATGTGGTACGTTGACGGGGGTTGGCAGGGCAGCCTCAGTGGCTGCCCAGCTCCTCACCTTCGGGTGGCGCTGCAGCTCTCTGCTCTTTCTTTAACAGGTGGCGGCTCTTGCAAAACGAACTATGAATTTTGTTTTTTCACAAATTCATCCATATTTAAGGTTAGTGTTATTATCTTGACTATGCTATGCAATCAAGTTTAGCGTTTATTAGGGGATGTCTGAAGATTTAGGTGATAGCTATTATCAAAAATTCAAAAATTAAGGATACATGAAGATATATTTTCAGTTATATAGCATATCAGGAGATATTAGTACTATATTGTGCCTATGAAGTGGAGGAATCACAAAATTGCTTGGATCACTTTGAGAACGCCCAAGATGTAATGTAACTCTAGCTAAAGCAAAGAAAAGTGACATTGTAGTTAGCCCATACAGTCTCATTATGGGCAAATACGTAATTACTATTTTAATTTTTTTAAATACTTAAAGTCACTTGCAGGTTTCTATTAATGTGTTTATGAGCTCCAAAGTAGCGAAGGATTTCACTTTGGGAAGAACTACTCTCAAAAGGATCTAGTTAATTCTCTGGACCAATGAAACAATAACTTTTTTGTCATGCGAAATGTTCAACTCCTTCATAAGTATGCCTGTTTCTTCATTTAGTCCAAAATAGAAATTCAATAGAGAAGCAATAAATCACAAAGATATAAGTTTTGGAATGGAATATGGGACACATACCGTTTATATGCAAGGAAGGCAGAAAGGCAGCGACAGGTGTCTGGGGGCTGAAAACCCATTAGCAGGAGTGAGCACTGAATTCGAGGAAAGTATTGGAATCGTCCTAGCACAACTATGAAGGCAGACCCAGAAATCTGAGCCCGTAATTTCCCACGGAAATTCTAAATTGAATAAAGGAAACCCTTACTAATTTATATTTGCAAGTCACCCTAACTTAATCATTATTCGCATTTTCTGGAACATACTCAGCAATTCATGAGATGCTTGCCAATAATGCTGGCTGAGAAGAGAGAACATTCAGGCTAGAGTTGAAATACTGTGCCAGATTTCAGAGGTAATTTTAGGTCACTAGTCCCAAGCCAAATATCCTTACTTTAGAAAGACTGCTTAAAGCACTAGGTTGGGGGAATGGGGGAAGGGGACCCTTAAGCTTCCAAACTCTAGTAGGACTTCAATAGTTATTACTTCAGTTAGATTTCTTTCCATGTGACTCCAGAAGGCTCTGCCTGCTAATGACAACTCATTTAGCAGAATGACAGTTGTTTGATGCTCCCAGGGAATGAAGCAAGCATGGCCCAATGCACGCTATACCCCTTTTAACAGCCTTGCTGCAAGAGAATCTTTACTGCAATGAGCATTAGAATTAAATGCGAGCTATTAATGAAGGGAAATCTCTCACTACCAAATAACAGCCTAAAAATGTGTGAGAGAAGAAGAAAAGTCTGAGGAATAGTATAAAGCTTTCTCTGGTCTACTGGTTAATTGATTGCTACAACTTTCAAATTTATGGGGAACCTGCACAGCAGGGGTTTTGGGCCACAGATACATCAACATAAATCCTTATTTGCATTTATTTAAGAATTCATAAGACCAGTTGTCAGAGGGACTATGGCTCTTTTAGGCTGTCCATCTGTGTGCAAGCACATTCTTGCATACAATAGCATCCTTATGATTTAGAATTTAAATAGCAATGAGTCTGGATTTTGAGTAGCTTAATGTAAACTTTAATAAAAATGCAAACGGATTCTATAATACCATTTTGGCTACCACATCTGATTGATTTTCTTTGATGAGATTTTGAAGGCTACTTTGAATTACCATTTTTTAAACCCATCAAAACATGACTGGAGATGAAAGGATAGCGATCACTGACATGCCTGCTATTTGGCTCTGCTCATTAAAGTGATTTGATAGGTAAACAGAACGCCTTTTGTTTAGCTGCTTGAGAGTCACCTATTACGAGGGTTTTACAAAACGTTAAGAGAAAATTTGTGACTCAAATTTTCTATTTCAGGGAAGAGTGATTTATTCAGCAATTTACATACTGGTGAAAAAATGTTGCTTCTTTCTTAGACCTCATATTCCTTTTTGTAGCAATGCACAGTTGGCTACATGAGCATAAACAAATGTGAAACCACATGCTGAGAGACGCTACATTAAGAAAATGAAATAAATTCAGTACACAGAAAATATCATTCTCTGTCACTCTCTGAAGGAAAGGATAATATGTTTCCTTGAGCCCAAGTCCTTCTGGCATAAAAAGTCCTAGAATACATCTTGGGCTGTTCATTACTTCTTTTCCTCTGAGCCCTCATTCATAAACCTGAGAAACTTAGGTATTTCTGCTGCCTTACACTGCCTCATTCTTATTTACTGTATGTAGGGCAAGGGATTTAAAAAAAAATGTTTAAAATCAATGATTTGATGTGGACCCTTACTAACAATCAAGCATTCTCATTTTGGGGAATCACCAAAGAAATCTTCCTGCCATCTATGTTCTGGTGGGAGACCTTTGCTACATGCAGTCCTTTATTAAGAATGAAGACAAAGTTGGTAGAGTGCTGTTATGATATTCCTTAAGGAAATATAGTTAACCCTCGATCTACTGGCAGCAAGTAGTCTGACTCCTCCCTCCAGGCGAAACCTATCTGCTGTGTTACCTGTGTTCTGTAACAGTTCTCAGAAGACTCTGGGACCAAACCACATCCTCCTGGGCCCCATTGCTTGGGCATAGGATAAGGATAGGTATGTGAAGACAGATACCATTGTCGCCTGTTGCCACCTGGGTCTTCTCACTTACTCTTTATTTTTAATAGCAATTGTGTATATATAAGATGTACAATGTAATGATTTGATGTACATATACACAGGGAAATGATTACTACAGTGATACTAATTAATATATCATTTCTTCACATAGTTACCATTTTGTGTGTGTGTGTGTGTGTGTTCATGAGAGCACCTGAAATCTATTCTCTTAGCAAATTCTTAATAGTCTTTCTTTGAAAGAGTCTTTTTATCTCTCCTTCTTTTAGTTAATGCTTATGTCAATATTTAGATTTTAATTTATGTGTTACTTTTTCAGGGAAACTTCCACCAATCTCCAAATCAGGTTAATATTTGTGTGTCTGTGTATGCATTACACTCTTATAGGATCATATTTTTCTTTTCTAGAAAACACTTCGGTTTTTACCTATGTGTTTATTTGTATTATTATTTGACTTTAAGCTCGGGGAGACTAGGAATTGCTTCTGTTTTTACTGACAGTTATCTCAGATACATAGCATAGTTCCAGGTACTTAAGTGTATAGTAAAATGTTGAATAAATATATACATGAATTAGCAAAAGACTTAATAAAAAATTTCTGGCAACTATCAGTAATTTCAAATGTATTCATAGAAAATAAAATATATTTACCTTTAATATCTTATAAATAGAAGCATTGAGTTTTCCTAGAAAAAAAGACTCTTTGATACTTTATTATATATTAAAAAGGGAGGTGTAAAGGAGAACATTTCTAACAATTATAATAAGGCCATATCTTAGTTTAAAAAACAAAAAATAAAGACTCAGATTTATATTGGTTGACTCTCCTACTCATTATATATATGCTTAACTATCTCTTCAGTTTAAATTGGATGGGTAAACACTAACAAAAGAAGTTCGCATAATAGAAAGTACTCTGACATTTAACCAGCTGTGTCAAGATTTGATTTTACTTAATTATTGGTCAACAAACACATCAGGCGTGTGTGGAGGAAGAGGAGGGTATACCTGGTGAGGAATATGGGAGCATGTCTTGGAGCATGTAAGATGACCTTACTCTCTTTTGTTACTAGGCTGAGTAACAAAAGTTTTTCCTGCCATTAGCCTATACTCCTTCCAAAGAAGGTGCCATTTACCCTGTCCCTAAATACATAATTTTCTGATGCACACTTTATGCCCCAGCCACACTGAATTTCTTCTCTTACCTTCAACACAGGCCCTGTTACAGCCTACACCCCTCTGTAGGTATTTGTCCCCTATCCTACTTTCCCTTTTCCTCTTTGCTCAAACAAGACATGACCTTGGTCTTTGAAGAATCAATGTAGTCACACTTCCTTTGTGCTGCTCAACAGAGTGTTCTGTGTCTTTTTTTGGTACGTGCTCTGTTTTATCTGTCTCCTTATTATATATATTGTTTTACCTACCTTCATTATTATTCACATTGGATAACTCACCCAGACCTTTCTAATAAAAATGGGGAAGTTCCCTTATAGTTCCCCCATTTCTGTGTTCTCTGCTCCTGGAGCAAACCAAGCTCTTCCTACTGACTCCATTTGTCTCCATCTCTGAAGGACATTATGCTCATATTTTTCTTCCTCTCCTTATTTGTTGTCTCCTATTCCCAATGTTTATGTATTAAAAATCCAATTTCTCCATCTAAATAAAAACAA